TGAGTGCCAACAATTCGGTAGAATTCTTACAATACTATATATATATATATATATATATATATATACATATATATATATATATATATATATATATATATATATATATTAATTAATTAATAAATAAATAATATACCCACACACACACACACACATATATATATATATACACACACACAAACATTTATACCGTTTGTGGTTGTTAAAAATTGAAAAATTGAAGTTTCAAGAAGATATTGGGAAAAAAGCAGCAGTCATGGAAATTAAAAATATAATTTGAAAACAAATTTTCATTTGAAAAGTCGTAAACACTGAATTGAAGGATGCAAAGAATGAAATAAAATAAATAAATAAAAGTGAAAGAAGAAAGTAATATATATCAATCGAATATAGAATTTTATTTTTGAAATATTTTAATTCCAACATTTTTAAAATAAAAAAACATGCTCTCTAGAATATATATATATATATATATTCTAGAACATATATATATATATTATATATATATATATATATATACAATATATATACACGCACATGTATTAACGACAAAGTTGCAACAAACTGAAAAACAAAAAAGCAAATGTAAAGTTGGGAATGAAAATGCAATAATGAATAAAAAAGCAAGAAAATAACCTCTCAACAACCATTCAAGATGGACAGTGCAGCATACATATTCGCACCTCACGCATGTAAATACATATTATTAATTAATTTATTTATTAATTCATTCATTAATTAATTATTTTATTTATTAGTTATAAACACTTGTTTTCAATTAGCATCAAACAAAAGTTTGCAAGCCTGAGTATATGGGTGATTTTTTTATTAGTGACACTAGTAGCAGAAAATGAGGATTGGAAGTAAGAACTGGCAGATAGATAACAAAGGTTCAACAATTTCCGGTACGGAGAATAGTGATACGGGTTTGTTTGATCGCGATTCATCAGATGAAATGTAGTTGTTCAATAAAGAATATACAAACCTGGAAATAAAAAATTGACGTCTCACAATTGAGCGCGAATTCGATCATAAATTATGAAAGTGAAAAGAAGTGCCAAAAATATTTTTAAAAAAAGTTATACAAGAAGAAATAATAAAACTAACAAAATTATTCAACTAGTGGTATGATCATATAAATGCGGACAGACGAAAGAGCGTCGGTAAGGAGAAAGGTGATAAGAAAATGTAAGAGCATTGGTAAAACTGGATAGAAGATATGGTCGGAACAGGCCTTGGATAACGAAATATATTTCACCTGGTGCAAACAATTGTTTTGCTCGCATCACATGTCTGATGATTTTTTGATATTTTATATTGACCCCCGAACACTTCAACACTGACTGACTCACTCACTGACTCACTCACTGACTCACTCACTGACTCACTCACTCACTAACTCACTCACTCTCTCACTCAAACGCCTGTGCATGTAAAATACACGGTTGAATGATGAGCACTTTTGGAGGACGAATTATGTTGTACGTGTTTAATCAACCGTTAATAAATTATGATAATACACATATGTACGCATTTCATATTGAGACGTAAATAATATTATGCATGTCAACAAAACTAATAATAATACGAACACATTAGTATTGATACATTAACATTAATATGCCAATATTAATATTCATCATTGTATAATAATATTAATGTTAACGTATCATTGCCGAAATGACGTCATACATAATAAGGGCAGCAAAGACGAAAACAATAATGATAATAAAATAAATAATGACTAAAAAGAATATTGAATGATGGAGCAAAAATATTGATGGTGACGGTGATAAAATAATGATGAAGGTAAGTAAGATGATGATATCGAAGAGTACAGGTCAGATGTTGTCAACGTTCAATGCACTCGTCTTCCTCGTAACGTATTCGTCTTGTCATCGCATCAAAAGTTCCTGGATGTATATCAACTTTCAATTATCATCATCGTTATAAACATCCTATTGTCGTCGTCACCGTTAATATAATGGAATCACAATTATTACAACTCATTAGAAGCATGATCACTGCACGCAACGAGAAACGATGTTGGCTTGACGTGGGTCGGCGAGTTAGCTCAGTTGCTAGAAGTGCCATGTCTCGCGCTGTTATACGCGGTGGTTCGGTTCGATTACTGTCTGATCACGAATAGATTAAATTACGCTCACTTGAATGAATCTAGTGCATATGAATTCAAAAATGGACAAGCCTTTCAACACTATGGCTTCATCAATTTTTTAAATAAAAACGACCATAACAATAACGGCAAAGTTATTAAATAGTAAGTAAGGTCTCTTGTGGCAAAAAGTAATAACATAACATTTGTTTTTAATTTGAAAATAAATTGAAAATATTATTTTGAGTTTTTATGATCATATGAAATAAACGTAAGTATATGTTACCTGGAAGTGTTATTGGCAATAAGTTTTCTTCCATGTCGCCACCATCATCATCATCACCTCTGCTTTCATATCCCTTCTCACCTTCGTTCTCAACACTTTTGAGCAGTTGCGGATGAATGTAGTTCATCCAGTAACCAGGCTGCGTTTCTTCTTCCAAGCGATGATGCTGCTTCTCTTCACCTCCATGTTGACGCTCGATTTTTAGCAATTTCTTCATGTGTTCCGACCACAACTGGCGTTCTCCGTCAGTTAGTTCTCCCTGCTGCCAGATCCCAACTCGCCGTTCTTGCTCAGATGATGGCTGTTGTTGTTGCTGCTGTGGCCAGTGCAGTAGATGGTCATGCCGCACATCACGTTCTGCAAACTGATAATCAGTTGTAGTGACCAGACGTTCATTCTCATAAACATCGTCCACGGTGTAATCGCCTGCATCACCATTCAGAACAACTCCATCAGGAAATTCGTTTGATAAATTAGCCAAGATTTCGCCATTAAATAGTTGGTTACAACTCCCCATTTGATCAAGCAAATCTTCACAACAAGCTTCATTTTGGTAGGTGAAAGTACTTGTATTAAGCGCAAAACATTTAATTCCTGATGGCAAATCGATCTGTGATGCTCTTCTAGCATTATTTTCAGACAAATGATTGTTCTGCAGTTCACTCAATTGCGTTCTAAACTTGTTAACAGCTTGGCGTGTTGATGTTTTCGTGGAATTACTTTCAGTTTTTTGTTGGAATTTGTAGGAATAGAAATCGGGAGCGTGTGGGTTCAACTGACTCTTGGAAGCCAATTCCTTTATTTTCTTCTGACTGAATTTGGGCAGTCTGTCAACTGAAGATGGCGAGCTTGATTGGCCTGA